GTGCCACACTAATCAGCTAATTAACTCAAAACACCTGCAAAGGCCTTTAAATGGTCTCTCAGTCTAGTTCTGTAGGCTACACAATCATGGGGAAGACTGCTGACTTGACAGCTGTCCAAAAGGCGACCATTAACACCTTGCACAAGGAGGGCAATACACAAAAGGTCATTGCTAAAGAGGCTGGCTGTTCACAGAGCTCTGTGTCCAAGCACATTAATAGAGAGGCGAAGGGAAGGAAAAGATGTGGTAGAAAAAGTGGACAAGCAATAGGGATAACCGCAACCTGGAGAGGATTGTGAAACAAAACCCTTTCAAAAATGTGGGGGAGATTCACAAAGAGTGGACTGCAGCTGGAGTCAGTGCTTAAAGAACCACCACGCACAGACGTATGCAAGACATTGGTTTCAGCTGTCGCATTCCTTGTGTCAAGCCACTCTTGAACAAGACACAGCGTCAGAAGCGTCTCGCCTGGGCTAAAGACAAAAAGGACTGGACTGCTGCTGAGTGGTCCAAAGTTATGTTCTCTGATGAAAGTAAATTTTGCATTTCTTTTGGAAATCAAGGTCCCAGAGTCTGGAGGAAGAGGAGAGGCACAGAATCCATGTTGCTTGAAGTCCAGTGTAAAGTTTCCACGGTCAGTGATGGTTTGAGATGCGATACGCCAGACCCAACAATGCAGAAGAGCTGAAAGCCACTATCAGAGCAACCTGGGCTCTCATAACACCTGAGCAGTGCCACAGACTGATCGACTCCATGCCACGCCGCATTGCTGCAGCAATTCAGGCAAAAGGAGCCCCAACTAAGTATTGAGTGCTGTACATGCTCATACTTTTCATGTTCATACAAAGTTTCACTTTTTGAATGGAATTACTGAAATAAATCAACTTTTTGATGATATTCTAATTATATGACCAGCACCTGTAATTGTAATAAAGTGGAGAATGCTTTATTAAAAGTTGGAAAAAGTTAAACAGCCATAACAGCAGCAACTGTAAGGAACCCTGTAATTAGATGCATTCGAGTGCACTACTGCATCAAAATCTACTCAAAAGGGTATTTCAGCGATTTACTATTGTACTTGTATTACATTGGGGGGGCTCACAAGAGCAAAGCTCCAGAAACACTGGATTCACTTCCCATGGGACCCGCTTTAAATGCTGTAGCCCCAGTTTGTAACCATTAAAAATGTGTCAAAGCCAAGGTAACCCTGATGACATTGTCACCGTTTCCACTGGCTCAGTAATCACGATTAAACTGAACTTGATGTGTAAAATCGTTGAGGTGCCCCTTTAGGTGACAGCAGAAAAACTGATTTAAAAACATAATCACAATGGTACTTTGAACTCACTGTGCCCATTATAATCAGCTTCAGTAAGAATAATGACCTTTGTCTGTCCACGCCTGAATAAATGGGTTCTGCCGTCTACAGCCTGGTGCCTGTTCTCCCTAACAAACATAATGTTCCTTGATAAGGTATCTGAGAATTCCTCGCTCTTGCATAACAATGATGAAAACTCCTGCAGGAAAATGTGGCATGAACTGAAGAGAATGGGAGTTCAAAACATTTAAAAAATGCCTGTATTTTAAAAATGTGTTGTTTCTTACACGATAATAACTTTAAATTAGTTTGTGCATCTCCTCTCAACCGTTAATTGATCCTGAAGGTTAACTAGTAGGTCTCTCTTTTCTTTTCTTTTTTTTTTTTTAAATAAATTTTGTCGGTCAGACATTCCAGCTTGTAAACACAATATAGAGACTTAAAATAATATGATAGTGGAAAATATATATAAAAAAATAATAAAATTAAATAACAGAAAAATTAACAAACAAGAAAGGAAAAATAACTTAACTAGCAGGTCTTCCAGGTGCCGTAATACAATAATATATCATAATAGCGTGTGTGTGTGTGTTTTCACAGGATGTTGACCCCGACCGTGGCCTCTGTTTTAGCCAGGAAGAGGTTCAAAGAATTTCTATCAGTACTTTAGGTTACATTTGCAGACATATTAGTTGTTTCCTTCAGTCGCAGGATACGAATAGGCAGAGACAGCTGACCTGACACCAGCTCGATGAGCGAGATTTAATTCATTGTCTTTATTTTTGATAGTTTGCACCAGGATCTGAGTCATCTCACAACTTTTACTTTTGCAGAGCACAACGTTTTTCATTCATCATTTGTTCATACTACTATTTACTACTAGATTCATACTTTTACTTAAAAAAAGATATTAATAAAAATAACAATGATTTGACTAAACTGAGTTAATTTTAATGAACCATGGTAGACACTTAATAGGAACAGTTTTTTAAAATTTGTATTTTGTTTTGTTATTATGCCCTGCTCTCACAGTTTCTGTCACCATGGAGACAGAGGGCAATTAACACTAGGGTGTCACCACTCGGCCGACCTTGTGACCACTCCACCCTCACACACCCATGTACTCGGCAGCGATGAGATGTGACTCAGAGAGTTTCACAAGTGGATGTGTCAGTGAGTATACACAACTACTGTGGTTTGAGTCGGGGTTCACTCCCCGGCAGAGAGAACTCTGGCAAAAATTGGCAGTGCTTGCTGATGGGAAGCAGGTGAGGGATCACATCCTTGTCACTGCACAACCGACTTCTATTGGTTGGTCGAGCTGCCTGCACAGTGGGGATAAATTTGGGGGGGATAGTGTCAACTTCCCACAATTTGACACTATCCCTATTTTCACTGGCAGATGAAGAGAAGCAGCTGACGACAATTACTGTCAGAGGTAACACGTATATACATGTGGCCGTCTGCAGGCCTTTTCAGGTCAGACTGTGGAGCTTCAGATATGAACAGAACTGGAAATTTAAAAAACTCATGATACATGGGGGAAAAAGCCACATTTAAGTCTGTCTAACATATAGTATAAACAGGCATCTGATGTCAAGGGTTCAAGAGTTGAAGACTTACAGGTACAAATGTTTGAAATCATTTTAAAAAGAAAAAGATCAATCCAATCTGTCAGTTTCTTAATGACTTTCTCGTCTTCTCTCCTCCATGAAAACTCATTTTGGTGTGAGGTGCAGTTGAAAGCTAAAAAACAAACAACAAGTGGACTTTGAGTTTAAATTGTTTTGTCAAACTTTGTCTCTGTCTTTTTTTCTTTAAAAAAATATATTTTATAACCTGTTATTGCAGGATGATATTTGCTTGTTTTTACAACAGTCATGGGAGAAATGTGTGTGTGTGTGTGTGTGTGTGTGTGTGTGTGTGTTTGGGTGTGTCTCAGAGCATCATCCCCACCCAGTGTTCTGAGATACCATCTCCCCCGTATGTCTGGGTGGAAATGTTTAATCCTGATGTGTAGCTTCCTCATGCCTGTCCAACAGAAAAAACACACACATCAATCACTATCACATACATTCACTGCATGCAAACACACACACACACAAACACGTTCACACATCACTGCTGACAGACATCCCACATTTATTACCACTGACAAACCAGTTCAAGATATACCATGGTTCCTTCTGAAAAGATAAGATACCAACCAAAACCAGAGACAAACACATTTCAGCTGTCTCCTCTCTCCGGTCTCTCTCCATCACTGTCTGTTATTTTTCCACAATTTAACAGGAAAAGACAAAAATTTTGTCGTGTTTGTTTCCTAAAGCTTACCTGGTTAAAAAATGGTCAAACTTAGTCACTCCATTTCTTTTCTTTTATGATCTAGGGACGATCTGAATACTACAATGTGCCATCCTAACACTGTAGCTGCCTGCACATTCTCTAATCGCTGTTAGCTATTCTCCAAATGATTATGTTCTTACTAAGTCACTCATCTCTGCACATTCAGCTTTGTTTTTCATTATTTGTATCATTAAAGCTAACTTATACTTTCATTTTGTACATTCTGAACCTCTGGGTTCTTTCTGTCAAGTGGCCTTTAGGATAAATAAGACAAATACAAAATCTATACAAAAGTATATGATGTGTGTGTGTGTGTGTGTGTGTGCGTGTCTGCATCTGTGTGTGAGGGTCAAAGTGGGACGGATAGGAAATGGCAGGACAAGTACAGAACTTCCTGTGTGATAGGAAAGAGTGCTGCATCTTCGTCCCTGCATATACGTGTGTTTGTTTGTGTGTATCTGTATGTTTAAGGGGTCTTAGATTTCCTGCCACACACACACAAACACACAGACACACAGAAGTCCCCGGACAATATAATGTCTGTCGTGCTGAGCTAATATTTCATAGTGTTTCATTTTTGGCTCATGTTATGGTAAATGTCAGTGATTCTTGATAAACCTAAACTGAATCCAAGACAAGAAAGAACCTCTTGAGCTTTAACATAAAGAATTTCACCTTTTTCCTTTGCTATACAGTATGTTTGACCCCGTTTTTCATTAGTCGGAGCTAAACACAACATGTTTTGGCAATTCATGGAATCTCTTGAGTGCATCTCCTTGATCCACCTCTGAAAATTTGAAGAAAAAAAAAACATTCCTATCAACTCTACTGTGCAGATTTTGTTGCTTGTTTTTAGTTATATTTAGGGACACAGAGCCTCTGATGATGCTCCTCTCTTAGCACAAAAAAAGTTTATAGGTGGTATCAAAGCAATCATGTTTGTCTTTGAAGGGGGAAAAGCATGACCTAATGCTTTTCTGAAAATAAAATCCTTTCTTTACTTATGTTGGGGACTTAATTGCTCCCTACATTAATGATGACAGTACGGTTGTCCAGTGTGAGTTTGCTCCAATTTCATGAAAATAATTTAATTTATGTATAATTTTAAAATCTTCCCTCATTATCATATTACAAAAGCTAAACCCTCATAACATAAATCATAAGATCTACTTACTTGTTTGCACACTGGATCCTCACAGTTTAATAAAGGAAAATCTAGCGTACCAAGTAGCATATCATTTTCTGAGGGCTAGCCAGGAAAAAGGAAGTCAAGTCAAGTTTCTTTTTCTTCTAAAAAAAAGATGCACAACACAAACAAAACAGGGCACAGAAAAAGTTGAGTAAATGACTTTATTACACATTAGGACTGTTGTTTTTGTTGAGAGAAAAGCAGATAAAGTACAGATTTTGCAATGCATAAAAATCTTAAACCAGAAAAACTACCATGACACCAGTGTTTCCATCTAATGTACAAGTACACAGGACTCCAAGTTGCAATCTGTCAGCGTGTGAAAAACACCTTGAAAACAAGCTGAAAAAAAACAAAAGTTTGTTTTGCACAGAATCCACATTCGTTTCTTCTGTTGATCTGGCTCGCTTATGAAATATGAGCTAGTGATGCGTAAAGCACCCGAAATGATGCGGATGATTTCCCAATCTGTGTTAAAGGAATGCAAACAGTCTTATTATGTACAGCAGATTCACAGTAACAGCACAGAGACGTATGGGGAGGGGCACAAAAGGGCCATAAACTGGAAATATTTCAGTTAAGTCAATTCTGTAGCTCAAAACTGGAGGGATACTGTTTCACTCATAAAACACACAGTGAACATTTCTTATCATAAGGGAACCCAAATTCTGTTAGTTTCATGTTTTATATGATGATCAGTGACTCTTACTGGTAACAAACCACAAACGTGGTCCTAACGTTAAGTATATATACACATACATACATACTGGCATATCGCTACAGTAAGTGATTGTAATGAGGGATTACATTTATTACACGTATACAGTTTAAACACATGAACTTCCATTCAAAAACAAACATTTGTAAAAATGTGTCGATTAGTGTTTTTGTTGTTCACAAAATAAGCTAACAGCTAACTCTCTGGACTGTTAGGTTAAGTTAGCTTAGCCATAACTGATTAATCACATTTCAATTCACTGAAATACTCCCGACTCAGTAGCCTGTGAAATACTTAAGACTTGATACATATATGTTACAAATAATAACACTGATACATGTGTTCGTACGCATACATACAATAGTCAGGATGTGCCCACACTGAGCTGTGAACGTCTGCACATTCAACATTCAAAGGCTTTACAATACAATTATACTGATCATGTCAGCACACTCGTGTCCAAACAATACCCATTATATGTATATCTTTTTTATATTATAGTCACAGTATTTCCAAACATGTTAATGGTATTTTGAACTATGTCAAAATATTCATCCTTAGTTTCTCCCCTGCTTGTTTCCCATCAGAGAAGCATTTCCCTCCTTCACTGCAGGTCAGTCCAGGTGCTACGGTAAATGAACTGTGAAATGCCTTTAGTGTCGAGGTGAATACTGCAGTCAAGCATGAGATTACTGTATCGATTACACATAATAATACAATTAAAGTTCCTATTATAGATCAAGTTTTAATTGAGGGTAAACTGTTATGCAACACCTGTCTCACCTAACAACTCCCAATATCGTAAATAAAAAAAAGAGGACACTGGGCTAAAGACTTGACTTTAATCGGAGAACTCTACCTTTTTAAAAGCCATTTCAGCACGGCAGCAATGTAATTAAATTGATTCTTGTCTTAATGTATGTAACTGAATATTTTGCTCTAATGTTTGCCTCTTAGTGGTAAGGAAAGGATGCAGATGTATGGAGGACAGCAACACAATGGGATTCAGAGTTGGAAATTGAGCCTAAGTTTGCTCCAATATTTTCATTTTTAGTTTTTTTTTTCTCTAATGCTACAGGAATATTCCTATTTCAATTGGGTTATTTTTCTTTGCTTGGAGGAGGCGGGGTTACTTACAGGTTTTGGGGACTGGGGGGGTGTAATCTTACATTTACTCAGGTAGTTTCCTCTTGGAAGGAGGCACCAGGTGTGCAGGCAGGTCTGACGGCAGTTCATGTCCCTCCAGTTTCACTTTTATCAGGTGATTAGCCAACGCAAACTCCTCATCATCGAGCATCCCATCCTTATCGATATCTGCCAGCTTCCAGATTTTTCCCAGCACTGTATTGGGCAGTTTTGACTTCACCATCTCCTTCTTGGCGTTGGCTCCTGTCACCTTTCCGCTGACAGGAGATAATGTGTAGAAAATCTCATCATAAGCAGGTTTGTCACGTGCAACGACCCACTCTGCTTCGTCAATGCCTTCGCCAGCCCCTTCGCCGTACCCATGGCCGAACGGGCCGTGCAAAGTGCCATCGAACGCACCACCCTTCACAACTGCGTTGGGACGCTGGGTTTCCTCTTGGCGGACCAGCACCATTAAGCCAGCGATGTCACTGGCCAGCATGTCATCCACTGCCTCCAGGAGTTTGGGTTTCAGAGGCTGGAATTTGTTGAGATCCTGATCTTGGAGTTGGTCCTGGATGAGATAATACAGAAAAGAAACAATCACATCACAAGTTTAGGGTTTAGGTTATCTATCTAAACCTCTACCTTCAAATATATCCTTTGCTCTTTCCTGGTTACCTGCATCTTCTTCAGATTAGGAAAATCTCCAGGTGATATCTGATGCTCTCTTTCTATGCGTTTGTATATATCTCCCAGACTGCTGATCAGTTCTTTCTTCTTGTTCTCCTTCCCAAACACAGAGGGCATCTCTTTCTTCAGTGAGCTGATGATGTAGGCATGGACCTGCATTTTGAGAGGGAAAGATGCATAATATGTAATAATGAACCTGCCTTTGCCATGTAATAAACAGCAAACATACTGGGACACCAAGTTGGCCTCTTTAAAAGGTCTAGTATTAAAGACATAATCCCTAAAGTGGCTGTATGTAGTTTTTTAATGAAATTAATCACTTTTTTATTGTTATATGTGCATTGGTTGTAACCTCATATAAAAATTATCCTAGGCTGTGATGTTCATGAGCGTTCCCGAGACTTTTGCCTACTGATTCTAAACTGTACACACAACGACAACACCGCAGCTAACAAACTCCATGTAAGGTTAAAAAAAAAAAAGAAGAAAGTTTTATATGCTGAAGCCTGTCAGGCCAAACAAGAATCAGATCAACGTTGGGCAAAAACACGGATAACATCGGACAGGCGTATGAGTCATGGAGAGACCTCAGCTTTGTTTAGGAGATAAAAACAGACCCAAAGTCTGAATCCAGCACAAGAGTGGCGAACCCCACCTCTTAATTCAATCTACTATATAAAAAGGTAACTTTAATGCATTCATATATAGATCTACATAGATAGATTGCAGGAAGATTTAAATGGGACCCTAAATTATTTACAATGTTTGGACAACATGCAACAAGCAGACAAACATATCTGCGCTAACCATCTTTTAATATGGTAAAAAATATCAATCAACAAACAATGAAGGATTTAATATTAATTTAGCACAAATGATTAACCAATTTCACTTATTCTTGCAGGATCTTTGTGTTTCTGTATTGCCCTGTTGTCAAACTTCTTTCTTATGTTTCTCATTCTGAATTTATTTTTGAGAAAGCGCTTTTGATAATTGGCTCATATGTAACCTCATAAGCAGCAGACTGATGCAACCCTGGAGACTGGGGACACTAAAGACTCCTTTAACCACACAAGCCACTCAGTAAATCAATCAGATTACCTTTGTTGACATTTGTTTTTAATATTCAACACAAACCACACATGGCAAAAGGAACGAGAAAACACATGATTTGTTATGTTGCTGTGGTGATATGTTAGTGTGCATGTCCCTGAATCCACCTTGTGTCCTTGAAGCTCATCACAAACACACACACACACACACACACACACTATCAGCTGTCAAACAGGAAAACTGCGCATTCAGTTTGATGTGTGATGTGTGTGACCTGTGTGTGTGTGTGTGTTTGGGAGTGTGCATGTGTACATCCTCTGTGTTTCCTAGAACTACAACAAGCAGCAGACTGTGGCCTCTCACATCAGACTTCCTGTCCAGAAAGGAAACAATTCACTCAGGAGGATAGCCACATTTGTCTGGTTCTATTGGTTCTGTGACAGCAACAAGCTTTTTCTGTCAAGGTTAACAGCTGGACAGGCGGGGGGAGCGAGTGAGTGATGGGAAGCATAAATATGACACACACACACACACACACACACACACACACACGTCATTGTCAAATACCAGCAAGAGCTGCATTGTTAGAGTATTACACATGTTCAGGGTTGTGGATGGATGTAAAATGCAGTTTCATTATTATTATTATTTTTTTTACAATCATTATCTTTAGGGATTCAATATGGACTAAAGACCAGACTGATAATCCCTCTGTAAAAATAAGAATTATTTAATAACATTGCATACAATGAAGCACTTATTGCTACTGTTAGCTACAGCTGTGCCATAACCAGAGTCTCCATCAGTGAGCGGGCGTGTACTTTACCTTGGCTAGTCTTGCCCTCTTGATCAGATCGTTGAGTTTTCTCAGTGCTGCATTTCTCGGTAAAGACTGAATGTCCTTAAATAGGTCCTGCTCCTCTGCTTCAAACAGCTTCCTGTTGTCTGGAATCAACAGCGGGTGGGACCAAAATGAACCGATGTAGACGCGGATAACCTGTCGGCGAGGGAGACGGACGGAAAATCACACACAAAACAAAATAAAAGACACAAAAAGCCTTTAGATGACAACTAGACGCAAAGTCCAAGAAATGGAAAAACACAACGTCTCTCTGTCTCCAATTTTAGTAGCAAATAAAATAGTAATTTTCAAGGTGTCAATTATTTTTTTAAAATACTGATTTTAGCTTTCATAGATGATAATAGCTTTAACAGTTTGTTGTTTGAAAAAACTCATGTGACAAACATATTTCCCATTAAAATCTCATTAGTAATTATACATTGATTTAAGAAGTAGAATGACAATGATTTTGTTATAATGATCCTGATACAGCCTACTTTTTGTATCCTATCAGTTTCAAATTGTGTCAAACAGACAGCTAATTGCTGAGAACAGTAGAGAGGCCACACTACAAGCCAAGAAAGGAAAACTATCTGCTACCCCTCTGATGGGGGCAAATTCCCCATAGAACTGTGAAAAGAGCTCGGCTTTCTATTATGAAAAAGGCTTTGAAATTCTGATGTCAGATATAGTGTCACGTCAAGAAGCACATGACAAACAGGTTAAGGCAGTCAAGACACATGGAGCACAGATTAACAAAAAGATCATTAAAAACAGAAAGTAGAAAAAGTAGGTAAAATTCATAAAAAGGTTTTTACATAATAAGGTTACTTGGTAAATATTAAGACAACCAGTCAACATTGTCCATAAAGGTTTCGATTGTATGCCACACTTTTACAGATGGCTTTTTGTTTAAATGATATCTGAACTCTTGTTCATCAACTCAAGTGTAACACATTGCTCTACCTCCAACGAAAGTCCACAGTGAACAGTTTTCAGTTCCTGGGAATCTGCATCACAGAGAACCTGACATGGACATCTCACATCTCCAAGCTGGTGAAGAAAGCTCAGAAATGACTGTATTTCTTCAGGAAAATTAAGAAAGTCAAATTCCTGTGCCATGTTCTTGTTAACTTTTACAGAGGAGCAATAGAAAGCATCCTGACTGGAAACATCAGAAACTGGCATGGGATGTGCACGGCCCAGGGCATGAGGGCCCTGCGAAAGGTGAATAAAATCACTCAAGATTATTGTTACCCATCTACTGAGCATCACTGACATCAGTGAGGTGGACACTAAAAGACAGTACCCATCCAGCCACAGCCCATTCACCCTGCTACCATCTGGCAAGAGATACAGAAGTATCTGCTATTGTAGCACCAGACATCAGAGCAGCTTCTGCCCTAAGGTTGTGAGAGGGAGGTTGGATGTTCTCACTACAAACACCAGACAAGATGGTGGAAAGCTTTAAACTCCAAAGGCTGTGACCATGTGGTAAGTCCATTGTTTGTTTTTTACATTTTATGTTTACTATACCTCAGGTGTGTTGACTATTTTCCCCAGGGACCACATCAGGGCACCATACACTCTCATCAACTGCTGGGTCTCTATCTGGTCAGCCTTGTTCAGCACAACCCTGGAACAAACGAGGGACAAGGGAACAGTGATGATTTAAATGAAAGCAAAGAGCTGCTGACAGCAACACTGCATAAACAGCCTATCATGTTGCATTGGATACGCCTGTAAATCAAGCAACCCTACAGTACCTGATCTTGTCCTCATGGTTCTTCAGGGCCTTTATCACCTCTGAGAACTCATCAGAGATGTCCAGTTTGTGGGCGTCAAACAGTAATATGATCCTGTCCACCCGCTCTGCAAACCACTCCAAGACAGCCGCAAAGTCATACCCTGAAAGAAGGAAAGAAAGAAAGGAAGAGGAGGAGGAGGATCCGAAAAAGTGGTCGAGGTGTGAAAAAAAAAGAAGGTGAAATTAAGATTTCAGATGAGGGACGGGAGGGTTTAGATAAAAAGAGAATGTAAAAAAAGAAAGAAAAAGAAAGCGTTAATAGTGTATCCATTTACCTCCTGTTCCTTTGCTCCCATCACATACCGTTGTCACAATAGCATTAAAGAGAGGCATTTGAATCGGCGGTGAACTTTTACTGAACCGGTTCATGCAACTGGGGAGCTACAGGTCAGTTCACTGAGTTTTCACGCTGATGATCAACAGCCATTAACCTCAACTGTGATGTTGCAATATTCCCAAGAGGAAACCATTACAAAGGCTTCAGGTCATAGAGGAGGCAATAAGGACGCCCATATTACAACATGCTGAGAGAAAAGAATGTCTGTTTACAGATGGAGGCAGCCATGCCAGGGTTCAACGTGGCTTTTTAAAACTAAAATAATGAGATGGAAAACCCCAAAACTCCATAAGAATCTGGACTGTAAAACATTGATCATTTATTGTCTTATTTAGCATCATAAATTAACCATTTTAAAGCCTTTATATGCTATAAAAGTGAAATACAATCATGGCCTTTTGAACGAATGAAGGCAGTATTAAATATATGGTTGAGTCAATGAATGAGTTAATGCCTCAATAATGCATTAATAAATGGATAAATGATGAAGTCTGTCAGCTGGAGTACATCATTGCCTCCTTTCTATCCTACTCAAGGACAACCCGGACTCTGGAGACATTCCACAGTATATGAGAGGAGAACAAAGAACAAAGGACAGAACGAAGGATTAGTGAGCTAATATTTCCTACTAACAGCGAAGGACGCACAAGAGATGCAGAGTCAATGAACCTATTACAGCTGAAAGTATGGGACAGCAACTCGATGGGAGTTGCTGTCATTTGGTAGTATGTAGTAGCGTTATGTTAATACAGCAAATGTCAAATTGATTTTCTAAGGAGCTATGTTTATGAAAAATTATCTCCCTTTAAATTTTACAAACTAAATCTACAAGCTTTGTGTTATTGCTATGAATATATCTAAATCTGACTGACACCAGTCCTCCATCTTTGCTTCCAGGGAGGCAGCCTCAGTATACAGACATAACTGTGATTTTAAAAAATCCCCCTTTTTTACACACTGGTGCTATTGCTACTGTGTCTGCTCCTCCCAGTAGAGGAATAGTTTTTACTCAAGGTGAACGATTTTGACAGTGGCTATGTATATTTTTTAAGCAAAACTTCTGAAAGACTGTAATGTTATGTAGTAATGGTAACATGATGCCTCAAAGGCTCCTTCACCAGTGATGATAAAAACTGGTCACCTTTACAACAACTGAAAGTTTGGTTGAGCATTGACACATTCCTCACTGGGACGTGAGCAAAAGTTTAGCAGCTGTAGTAATAAGTGTGTAAAACACAGAAATGGGTTTTAGCTGTGCCTTTCTGTCCTGTAGGAGCACAGGTGCTTGAGTGAAACTATGGAGGGTTAAAAGAGAGATGGATACCTTGATGCTTTGAATTTTAGGGGATTATTCATCACACAAAGCACTTTTTACATGGTGTGGGGAAAAAACAGGACTGTAAGTCTAAAGCTCCACTATCGCAACCAAGGACTTGCGTGTGTTTTAGTTTTACTAAACGAAGAAGAAACAATATGTGGATTTTCCTGACACTGGTGGTACATTTAAAACAAGTATGGTTTATTTTTGGGGAGCTCATGAATAACCACAATGATTTTTAAAGAGTAAATGTTTCATAACAGAGAACAAAAATAATATTTTGGCCTGAGAATGCCACAAAAGTAATGTTCAAAAATGTATCAAAAATGAAGAGGACATGTTCTGTGAAGCATGAACACGAAGAAAATTTGTTTTCCACCAAAATATTTAGGTGGACAAATTGTGAAAATTTCGGTTTGATGATGGCAGAAGAACGGCCGGAGCCAAAAACTCTAGGATACACGAGTATCCCCAAACAATATCACTAAACTACATCCATTAGCTCTTGGGATATGTCATGTTGGTCAAGGAAGAACTCATTAGATGGTTGCAAAACAAGAAAGGACAGTATCAAAAAAACAACAACTATGATTTGTCCTCGGAGGATCATGAATACCCTTACAGCAACTGGGAAGTAATTGTTGAAAGATTTTTTTCTGATAGACAGACCAACACCGCACCAAGAACAACCTGATGGAGACACAAGGCTTCATCCTTCTGACTAAAATATTCAGTTTGGTCGCTAACAAGCTAGACTCGGGGACAAATACATTTTTTCCCCAACCATGTGAAAAGAGTCATAAATTAAGGTTAAAATAAAGCATTGCTTTAATTAGCCTTTTTGCAGCTGGTTGATGCCCAGGTTTATCATCTACAATACCTCCATAAGGACATCTACGTAGACAGCTATAGCCTGACACCAGCTCATCTGGACACACACACACACAAATAAATAAATAAATACAGACACTCATAAAACAATGCAACACTGTGAAAGAAAAGTAATAATAGCAAAGAATGACACACACAACACACAAATGAAACATGAAAACATTTGCATGACATGTGATAAACAAATGGATGGAAATGGATGAAAAGGACATTAAAACACACAAACAAAAGCTCCACCATGCACACACGCTCTCAGACAACACAGCTGTGCTGACTCAGTAGAGATTAATGTGAGCCTGTATTTTTTTTTAATATCCAACACACAATTGCAGGGTCACAACTCACTGTGCTGTTTATTTGGTCTGACAACACATTCAGGGGACACGCTGCCCATCGAACAAACAGAAAGCAGAACAGAGCTCATGTCTGTCTGATTCAATTAAATTACTTCCACTTGTAAACAAAATCTGAAATTCTGTTGGCGCTGACTCTCTGGTGTTTCTCAACAGAAAAGCTGCAGACATCAATGTTCTCATGACAAACAGTAATCCAGACCCAACCCTGCAATGAAGTAATGTGCTGAACTCAGTGACCACATGTTCTTCGTTCTTATTTAGCCATTGGAAATTCATAAGCAAGTTAATATACTGTATTTTATCACTCTGAATTTCATGATATAGATCCATGCACAATCTCAGTTGTCAGTCACAGAAGAAAGTTTGCTTAGAGCAGAGATGGGGATCATTAGAGAATCATTACATTATCATGGAAAATGTCAATGTTGATATAGATAAAAATGCTAATTATCACATTATAATGTTGCATACATACCATGATCTTAAAACCTTTACTGACATGAGATCACAATCTGTTTTGACTGCCCTTAATTTCTATTTTTTTAAATGAAGATAATCTTCTCTGAATGTCATCAGGCCAAGTTATTTAAAAGCACTACTTTAATAGATGTCATGCTCAGCAGTAGAAACACCCCTACTAATCAATAAGTTAACAAAAGAGATGTTTTCTCAAGTTCATTACCTTATTTCTTATTTTTTTTCCTGATACTTTGAGGTGCAATCCTAAATGATCTATGATGATATATAATGCAAATGTCAACAGTGTTTTGGTAAAAGAAAAATAATCCTTCCTCACACATCAAACAGTGGAAAATGAACATTTGTTGTTTTAACATAAGACAAATGAAAGGAGAGTATGGACAGACAAAAGGAAAGAAATAAATTCAAAGATGGTTGGAGTAAGAGGGAGTAAGTGAATGTGGGTAAGACTAAGTTATGGCGGGCTTCAATTATCCCAGCTCTTTTGTCAATGTTAGCGGTTGGTATGGCAATGCTAGCATTTAGCTGTGGGAATGCCAGGCACGCCGGACACATATCAAACTGTAAGAAAGCTGGGAAAAATCCTTTAAAGGCTTTCACACCTAAACGTCTCTTCACACTGTAGCTTCTGCATTCAGATCAACACCACGGCCGGGATCTGCACACTGTCAGTTCACATGTTTGAAAATGTAGACAAGGAGTATAATTAAGAATCATATAACTTTATTTGAGTATCTCGTCTTTAAATTTGTGATTGAGGAGTGTTTGAATTTTCCCCTGGGGATTAATAAAGACATTCTTGCAGCTCTCTGTGTTGACCATTTAAGTTTAATGCATGAACAAGCAAATGTACAGCATGTTTTCAAATCAGTACAGAAGTGTTAAAAATGTTAAATCTGAACTGTGTACAAGCATGCATGTGTGTGTGTGTGTGTGTGTGTGTGTGTGTGTGTGTGTGTGTGTGTGTGTGTGTGTGTGTGCACGTGAGAGAGAGAGAGAGAGCACATTCAAAGCTCGTCTTTTTGTCACTGCTTCCTGTTGTTTGAAATGAATGAAGAATAATCCTCCTGGTAGCTAAAAGCTAAAATAAACACACACACACACACACACATCCAAAGGAAATGCTGACATGGTAGTTCAGAGTTCAGTGGGACGAGGGGGCTGCAGCTGAATGGGTCCAGTGAACGAACACTGACACACACACACACACGTTAACATTAACTACAGGAATGTAGAATGTAGAAAGTGTGAGCGGCATGAGCATGTGTCTTACCTCGACTAATTCTCTGTTTCTCTCCTGACAGAATCCCTGGTGTATCAATCACACTGATGCTTTCCAGCACTGGGTTAGGCAGCTGGGCACACACAAACCTAGAACACACACACACCACACGCACACACACACACGGAGAGGAGAATTAAAAGAAACCTGACAGAAGTGTAAAACTTTAACAACAAACATCTTCCCTTACAGTACCTCTGTCTCCTTCTCCTCTATCTCTGCTCTCCCTCTCTGCCTCCAGCTGTATAAATACTAACAGGTTAGCGGTCTGTGAACCCCCCTAATCTGACAGTCAGTGTTTCTTCCTTTCAGCAGTGGTGGGCCCTCACAGCGAGGACACAACCACAAGAGCAAGAGCGAAGCGTTTTTGGCACTTTTCCTTTTCCAGAAGGATGACTCTGCAAACACAACTCTCTCTCTCTCGCTCGCTCTCTCTGACACAGACAGACAGCCATTAAAAAGAGAAAAGCCTGAACAGTGAGCAGAGGGAAATTCAATCACACAGGAATGTAGAGCTGCCTTGTGGATTCTCACTAGTACTCTCAGCCTCCCTTTCTTCTCCACTCTCTCCCTCAGTCTTTCCCTCTGCGTCCACATACTTCACCCAGGTACACCACCTTCTGTTTTGACTATACACAAATACCCCCAAAGACATCCCACAGCATTGGCCATCAGTGCTTTTCATCTAGAATTTTGTGTAAGTGTGTGCGTATACCTGTTGAGGAATGCGTTTCCAAATGCGTTCAGCTTTCTGAAGGGCTTTTTGGGGTCAACCACCAAAGCGTTTCCGGGGACGACTCCTTCTGTGTCACCGTGCATCACAGCGATGAAAGAATCTGTGGTGGGTTCGGGGCCGATCCGCATTCCCGGAAAATCCTGCTCCAACAGGTAGCTACGAGGGGAAATATGATATGGCGTTAAACAAAACAAGGCAAGAGATAAACTGTACGCTGTGTAAGAATAAATCAACCGTAGATAAAAGGCCTTTATGGCTGGATTAATCCTTTCAGAAGAAGGTACCTAAGACAATGAACAACAGTGTAGAAGGGTGACATTAAAACAGATTAATATTACTTAATAAGACATTAGCATCACAGTATTAGGCTACATCCACTTTTTCGAGTATTTGTAAAATTACATTACTGTGAATATATTAAGCATTCACGACACAGGATTTATACAAGTTCTCCAACCACTTCCACCACTGCTTGTACGTTTTATGAAAAGGCCTTGTATCAGTTATAGCGTTCCAGTGAGTTGGCTGAGTGCTGCAAGGCCTTTTCAAAGAGATTATGCTGAAAGGAAATTGGTCTGGATAGTAAGAAGCAGTACAGGAATCACCAAAAACCAGGTCTGCCTTGAATTAGAAGCTCCTGGAACAAAGATTCGGGGGATTTCACATCATCATCATAGGCCGGATGGCTGCTGAGCACAAGAGAAAGCCACTGCTCAAAAGTCTGATTTTAATTGGTTGCTGATCACGTGGAGCAAGGCAGAGCTCTTTGAATGAGTGTTTTGTGGTTAGTTGAGATGAAGATGGAGGCATTTTGCCAAAAAACTGACCCAATCTAAATGACCAAATATCTATTTGCAGGGAGACAGTAAAGTATTCAACCATAGGGGCACTGTGACACACAATTAACCTTAAATTTGTGACTGGGTTTGCTGCAAATAAGTATTATATTCGACTTTACAACTGATGCAAACTTTTGACCTCATCTGTAACTGTCGCAACACAGCTGACTCACAACTCACATGTTTTTGTTTTTTAAGTGTGAGAGTGGTTAAATCCTCATCTGTTTATTCAGTGACATCACACGTGTTTTCACAACCCCTGAAACATGTGAGCGCAGGCCATAACAAAGGGATTGGTAAAAAAGGGCCATAAATTTCAAGGGTGAGCGTGGGATGTGTTTGCATTTTAACTGCTGCCAGATGTAAGGATGATTTCCATATACATATTTTCCACGCACACCTTGTCAAGAGGAGTGAGCAGTGCCTGGTAGAGCCATCTCTCTGCATACTGTGTAGTGTGAGTCCTCCTGCCTGTCTGTCTGTCTGTTGGGAGGCTGTGCACCTAACAGATAGCACGTTCGAAATCATATACTGTGTGTTTGCCTGTGCAGTTCACATACAACTCATTTCACCTTGAAGGAAAAACTTCTGATTACTGGTCTCTGAATAAATGCCAAAGAAGAAGGACTGTATTACCCTCCACTTGCATCTCTTGTCTTTCCATCTATTATCTCTTTTTTTTAGCTGTCAGACAGATATTGATCAACATCTTATGACTTTTCTAATTCACATAAAGTAAAATATGATTTCAAAACAATATTACTATAACCATGTAGTGTTTCAAAAAAGACCTGCACTGCTCCACCACATCCAGAGTCTGAGACCCCGTGATATGAAATTTAAAGAGATGCTGAGTGGTTACTCAGCAGTTTGAGCATTCTGCGTCTTACTGTTACTGTTCGGTGGTGAAGGGTCAGGCTGCTGACTGAGAAGGGGGGGGGGGGTGTCTGCACTGTGCTGTCTTATAGCAGGAAGTCACTAACAGCATCCTCTCTCTGTCTTTCAAAGGCTCACCCCGCTAATTACCTACTATGCTCTGCGAGAGTGTGAGTGTGTTTGTGAGAGGGGCATGTCGTAAGTACCTGCCCTGCAGTTCAAAAGAGGCCCAGTGCCCAGCTGCTAATATCTCCTGAAGCCACAAATACCAATACTGATCCAGGTCACACACTCTCACACAACCCTGAACATGCAACAGTATTTTTATTCTAAAGATATATCACCATAAGAAAAGACTAAGTAATAATTGTCAGTAATACATCTTAAACTCATGTAAAGCTAAGCATGTATTTAGCACCTTTGTCCAAAAAGTCTTTAAATGACTGATGAAATACACATACCTCGTTAGGGAGGGCTGCAGTGCCAGGCAGCGCCGCCTCCATATGTATTACATTTGCATGTGTGTGTGTTATGTTGGCTGTCATATAAACTGTTTTTATTGATTCAATAAAGCTTGCAGAGGTGTGGCTCTTCACAGTTAGACTGTGTGTGTGTGTGATAGATATTTTTGTTACTCTATTCATGTTGCTTTTTTTGTTTTGTACCCATTGCGCTTCATTTCATGCCAGTTGTTTTTGGTCCTTTTCTAGTTTATTGCATGAGAGGGGGAAAGTCAGTTTGGGTGTGTCAGCCTCTCCCTTTCTATCATTCTGGTGGGCCTCCGGCTCATGTGTTTGTGTGTGATTTCTCTTTCCATATGAAGCTCTTCGTTTGTGTGTGTTTGTGTGTGTGTGTGTGTGTGTGTGCTGTTGTTCTCACCGTATGAAGCTGGTCTTGCCAGTGGAGTACTGTCCCACCAGTAAGACCATGGGCTTGTTGTCAAAGTCTGCATCCTCCAGAGCCGGAGAGTGGAACTCATGGAACTTGTAGCTTTCCTCCAGCGGCAGGAGTTTGGTTTTGTAGAGCTTCTTAAGGCCGTCACTGACAGTCTGAAAGACTTCAGGGTCCTTCTTCCTCCTGTCGTCGGTTCCAAGCCAGCTGAACATTGTTGCTGATTGCTTATCGTTTGACTAGTAAAGCCTCCAATAGGTGCAACGGTTTGTTGATAAGCTGGACACTAGTGTCTACTGTTTATTCTGAAGTCGAGTGACAGATTATCTGTCCTGAAAGGTTTACAAATGGGTTATGTCCTTGGATACTTGTCCTAAAGTCAATCTGAAACTGAGATTTCCTCACATATAATAACAAGTGTAGAGCTTATTAAATTTCTTTAAATCTAAACAAAATTTGTTCGGGTCGTATTCACTGTAAAAATTATCTATATTGTTGCTTTCTGTTATATTTTACTGAAAATGTTATCAAAAAAGATCAAATCTCCTTAAAAGTCTGTTTTAGAAAAAATAAGATCTGCAAAAGTATCCTGAAAATCTAAGACATCACATGACAACACCTCGTCCTGCTACACGGAATGGTCACTGGGTGGTGACTGTTGTTATTACTGATGATAATCTTGAACCCAGTTGAAGGTTATCCTAAGATTGTTTCTCTGGTAATGTCTACAACTAAAACAAAATTGTTGTATCTATAATCAAAATTCAGACCTGACCCTTTAAAAGCTCATCATCGAGTCCATCGGTCCTCCCAAGTCCAGGCCACTTCTGCTCCTGGGCCAAAAAACACGGCATTCAATGAGTTGTGTTTTTGTTTACCAATACCTCTCAGTAAACAAACACTGGCAACAAAAGCCTAAATCATTCTGCTCATGCACGACAAACCACGTTACCGATATTTAATTTCGTCCAAGAGCTAGCAGAGGAAATCCCAAAAATGATGCGCCGAGCTGCTGTCAGAGCGCAACCAGCCTTTTTGTTCAGCTGCTCCCCCTCTGCTACCCACACCTCTTCAGGACCGGCAATAATCTCTGTCGTTCTCCTGTTAAAAATTACAAGTAGCCTGTGTTGCTCGTGCTACGGGTTACTGTCTGTCACAGCACAGCGCTGAATGTAGCAGCAGCTGATGTCCTGCAGCTCAATTTAAATGCCGAGTCGGAGGAAACCCGAGCCCGGCGGAAGTGCCCAACGGCTGGCAGTCCGACTCACCGGGGTCCCGCCCAGTGATGCGGGAGCTGAAGCCTGGCAGGACGACGCCATGATGGACGAGCCGCCGCTGAAAGACAGTGCGCCACCTAAAGGTACATTTCACATTTTTTGTAGCGCTTAGTGAACAATACAGTGTATACAAACAGCGATGTAAAGTAACTTAGTACATTTACTCCAGTACGGTATTTAAGTAAGAGGATGTACATCACACGAGTATTTCCATGTTCTGCTACTGTATAGGCTACTTTTACTTAAATTCTATTCAGAGGCAAATATTGTAGCCTGATTTTTACTCCACTACCTTTAGTTGCTCGTTATTTTTCAGATTAAGCTTAAAAATATAAACTACAATCAACAAATACATTTTGATGTATTATTATAGGATAAGACTTAATTCATCCCTTGGTGAAATTCACAAGATACCCAGCAGTAGGCCCCTATGTGTAGTAAAAAAATAAGGCAAACCTTTTCCAGCTGCAACACTGAAGTGATGAACACATGAAAACATCAGCAATTATAATTCAATAATAAGGGAGACAGGGTATGGTTGTAACACTTGCTGCTTATATAAAATTCAGCTCTGTATAATTCAGCTCTGAAGTTTGTAGCTAGAGTTCTCAAACTTTTACGCAAAGTACCCACATTTGTTCACTACAAATGATACCATTTCAGTCCTCTACAAGAATATCACAGACCTCGTCAGTTGATGTCAAATGCATTGAGTTCCCTTGTTACATGGTTGTAACACATGCTGGGGTAAGTTGTAACAATAAGACAAAAGGAGCAAAAATAGATGCCACACAATATGATATGCTCCAAAAACAGTTAGTGATATAGAAGAACAATGTTTCTCTGTCACTGTAACAGACTGTCTGATGAATCATGCATGTACAGTATGTGTATGTAAATTTATCAATAAATTAAACTTACTTAACAGTTTACATAATAAATACTACTAAAATGTGTTGTGGTATGGACAGAGTGGACCCAAATGCAGCGCTCAGGATTGACAGGTTTTATTAGGGGAAAAAAAGGGGTTGAGGGACTGGAGTTGAGGGAGAGGTGGATGCCGGGGAAACGCAGGCAAAGGGGAACCGAGGAGACAGAGACCTGAGAGCCGGGGGACACTTGGGGCCGAGGAAGAGAGGAGGCACAGGAGAACTGGGAGGACGCCGTGGGCGAAGTCCGAGGGGAGAGGGCAGGTGAGCGAGCCCAGCTGACTAGACAAAGGGCGAGGGTGAGTGAACCTGGGGAGAGACAGACAGAAAGACAGGGTTAGTGACACAGCGGAGACAAAGCACAGGGAAACAGACAAGATATACGTGAAGAGTATACGTGCGAGAGCTCGAGTGATCAAGTGGTGGATTGCTGGCAGGTGTGGCAGGCAGAGGAGGAGGTTGACGAGATGCAGGTGCGGGTCATTGGCTGGGCTCAGGAGTGGAGAGAGAGAGAGAGAGAGAGAGAGAGAGAGCACACACAGGGGAGGAGACACAGGGAGGCAGGCAGAGAACAGGGAAAACAGAATCACAGACAAAGAAAGGAGAAATTACCAGGACACTCACCGTCAGCTGGGCTGCCGCCACAACAAAAATGTACCTAATTAAAGAAGACCTTTGTACATCGTTGGGTCAAACAAAAAAGAAGTGTGTGTCAGTGTGTGTATATTCTTAATCAGAGTCACAGTCAGTGCTCGAAAAGGGCCGGTACTCACCGGTACCCAGTACAAGCTCTTAGAACTATATTTTACTCTTTGGCGCAGCTGGACTTTTTCTTGCACACTGGAATTTCTCACAAGCTGCCTGTACACTTTTCTGCCCTCTCCATCGACAGAGATGGGGTATGGAAAAGCTTAAGTGCTGATACACACGCCAACATGTGAACAACCTGTGAATGGGAAGTACTGGTCACAGTGCTGACAAATGAATGCTGGTAACCCTGGAGTGCAGGCTTGGTAGGCCAATACTGCAAAGGTCACTCTGTAAAATACTAAAATCAAGAAAGTCCTTAGTTGTATGTATAGTGGAGGCTGTAGCACTTTTTAAAGAAGTGTTACAACCCACCCCACCACTGTCAGCCAATGTTTAGCTAGCTGTTTTAGCATGGTTTGAAATTAGAAAGGAAAAAATGCATCACATGTATCACAAGTAACTTTCAATCTAATATTTATCTAACCTTTTTATCTGCAATAGTTAACATTCTAAACAAAATATAGTCTTGCCTCGCTCGATTCGGGAGGATGCAGATAAATACAGAAATGATCAACTAACTCCTATCTATCTCTAATTGGTGGAATTGGTGTTACAACTCTCCCCATGTTACAACCATACCCGGTCTCCCCTATTATATACATTATTCTGCACAATGAGTAGGCCTACTTTTACATTTTGTGCTTTGAGTCTATTTTAATACTAAAGTTTTGAATGCATGATAATTATTTCTTCACTGTGGTGTTGCTACTTTTAACTTAAGTAAAATATCCGAATACTTTTTCCACCACTTCCCCCGGTACATTTGATGAAGTTTAGATCCAGCCTAGAAGTACTGGCTGCCATACAGTAGTTAGTTATTGGTAGTTAGGTCAGATCGGTGTCAAACTGATAATATATTGATATATTTCTCTTTGATGTATATAGTGTCACAGAAGATTTTGTTGGAGATGTTAATGTGAAACCTGTGTTGCTCAGTTTGAGAACCAATATTGTTTTAAAGATGCATTATCTACAATTACATCACATCACATTTTTACATAAAATATATACATTTTATTATTATATTTATTTGTTTTTATAATGTTGATCTCTATAGCAGTGATATAAAATAAAATGTCATGATTGGTGTTTGGTAATTTGACCAGCAGATGTCTCTTTTCACTCTCGTTTCATGTTGCAGAGGCAGGTGTCAGGAATGAAAGTTACTTGTAATACAGATCAAAGGTCTACCATGCTCACATTTCCTTAAGTATGTGAATACTTTGAAGATTGTTCCTGAGATTATGTAAAAGCTGGCAGTAGTACACACATCTAGTGAGAACAGGAAATGCTGGTAAAACAATATGTGACCTTTTCTGTTCAAAATGCAGAGGACAACAATAGTTAACAAGTTCCCTTTATTATTATTTATTTTGAATATACAATACTTTTGACTTGCAACATACAAAACTATGACAAACATATGACTGACTTCCTTCCCAGAGCAACTTCATGCACAGCATCAAGGTTACCATCACACTGCAGATAACCTGACCAAATAAGACTAAATAGCTACATGAATCTGAAGCCTTTACTGTGGTTTGACTGTGGTGTCCAGGAAATTACAGTAATTCCAGAAATTCCCACAATGAGACCATGAGATGGCACAATGCCAGTAAATGTAGTCCATTACAAAACCTTTTGAGTAGCTATGACTTCATGGGAGCAGAACAACAAAGAAAGAGAAAGAGGAACAACTTCAGCAAAAGAGCGTAATGATTTCCTCAGTTATCATGTAATGGTAATGTAAAATATTCAAGTAGCACTTGGCTGAATGACGAACAAGTGCGAGTACTTACTGTGCTTTAATCATTACAAAACTGTAGTTATTATTTCTAGCTTATTTTGAACTGACAGTAGCAAATAATGAAGTCTGATAAGTTGTAGATGAGACAGAATAAAATATCCTGACAAGCTTCTGAATATCTCAGCACCAAACAAAAAGTGATAATGCCGTTAATATTGTACTGCAGACAGTATTTTGCTCACAGATGATTGCTATAGCTTTGACTTCATTTTGTATGAAGACATCATCCACAAAGATACATATCCTTCTCTGAATATTAGTATTTCCTTCATATAATATGCGCAGCAATGGTGGATTAGTATTAAAGATCAATTACTGACTGAGAAAATGAACAATTATTGTAATTACATTATGATTCATCCCAGTTTGCCAACATACAATACAAATACTGTCCTAAGACATCACAAGCAGCGCAGTTTAAAACTTCCAAAACTAGTTTGACAGCATTGTCTAGTAAACACGGATGTGTATGGTCACAGAATAGCTACAGTAAACTGAGGTATCGTATAGCCCATATCGAAATAAAAAAGTAAAACGCCAAAGTAAATTTCTTAATATGGCTTTTGTACTACCACTAAACTGCCAGAACTTACAAAAAAAATCACAACACTTTTGCAATCTGTCCCCCCAAAAAATCTGTAACTGATATTCTTATTATTATTCTATAATTATGATTATTCTATTCTGATGATCACCAGTGCAGAACAGTCCGTTAGTGCTTTGTTAGGCTGAGATCTGATACGGTGGTGACGATGGTGTACGTACAATCGATTACACACGCAGCGTTTAATCAGGAAGAAACACAGTGCTGCAGGTCATCTCTAAGAAGAACTTTTACTTCATATCAAGCACGAAAAAAATAACTAGTAAACTACATCTGAAAAGACATTGTGCTCAAAATTAAGGTGCACATCTCCCTTGGCAAGATAATTTAGAGTTAATCACAGTTTATTATACCACTTTGTAAGTGTTCGTGTTGATTCGCCTGATTTGTTAATCAGATAATCTATAAATCATGACAATGATAATAAAGCAGCAACATTCCCAGGTTTAACAGTAAACCTACTACAGTACAAAGTGCTCCTAAGAATGTGATATTATCTTGTGTATTTAAAAAAATTATTTTGTGTAGACATTTTTATGATTTCCATCATGGTGCTAAATTTGAGTATACAGTATAAGTGCAGAAGAAGAGCATTTTCTTTGTAATAACGGGGTAAATATATTGATGAATATTATCTACTGGCCCATCGAGATTACCAAGTTCCATTTGGTCATAACATCATCCGCCTCCCACCCTGTTTCTACAGCTCTCGTCATCTCTGTCTGTGCCTCTGACGCTTCCTCGGACGTTTGTCTGACAATCACATTTTCCAACCTCAACTTGCCCCTCATCGCATACTCCTCCTCTCCTCCCACCCTGTTCTCTCTCCCTTTCTCTCCCTGCATCAACCCATCCAACCCTCCCTCCCTGTTGAACTCCATTGACATCTCTGGCAACACTAGTTTCCCGGTATTGGGATCCCACTTAATACAACTAGGTCCCTCCTCTTGCTCTGCCAGTCTCAGGAGACCATAGTCATCTGGTAAGGAATTTGATTGGTCAGTATCGAACGTATACATGTCTCTGATGTTCTGAGAGGCATAAGCAGAAAGAAGAGGTACTTCCTCACTCTCGGTACCCTCCCTTTTTCTATCCACCTCTCCTTTGGTTGCCAGTAAAGGTGCCTGAGTTTGGGTTAGTGGAACTAAATTTACCTCTGAAAATGCGTGCGCCTGCACAAACGTGCTCATCTCTGTCTGTGCACGTGTCTCTGTGTGCATCGGCATGTGTGTTTGTGAGTATGTGTGGGTTGACTTCTGCCAGACGTTGGACTGGTGAGAAGCGTAAACTCCAGCGCAGTGACATTCCTCGAGTTTCAGAGTACTCCCATCTTCTCCTCCGTTATGCCTCCTCTCTCTTTCTTCTTCTCTTCTGACACTGATTTTAGGTGCTGTGCCAATAAACCCATAGTCAATGGACAAATCATCCTGGGATTCCTCGGGCTCGGGTGTTTCGGGCCTCTGGGGGACATAACTTCTTGGGGGATCTGCGTTGTGTGGCCACTGGATGGGGCATGCAGGGTCTGATATGTCGATGTCTGATGGCTTGACAATGGTGAAGATGAATTTACAATTCTCAGGGGGGATGATCAGAGGGGGCGGATGAAAAGAAGGCGGGTTCTGGAAGTTCAAGGAATGTGGCATTAAAAGATGGACCATTAGCTTTTGAAACATTTTTAAAACAAACTTGACATTCTGATATGCCATAAAATAGTCAAAACTGGATTTTTTATGTACCACATAGCCAACCAATTAGACGATGAATTATCCTGACTTTTCATCCCTAGGAGCTCCAGAATCACTACATCACACGTCTTTTGTTGAATACTCCCTGCCTGCAAACTCAGCGGCCCAGTCTGTAACGCAGGCTTTCATTAAAAATGTGTTGTCTCCAAGTCCAAGCTGATATTTTCTCAGACTTGACCAAGCTCCTCCAGAGACAGATAAGACATTTTATAGCTTTAACTGATCTTAACCCACCCTGGACACACCATATTTTGACATGTTTATATTCAGGCTTTGTTTAGTGGACTACTAGCAGTCAGTGACACATCTACCATCAGTGCAACTGTCCTGCTGGTGGAGCAGTGGGGGGTATATCTCTGAGCGTTTATCCCTCTATGAACCAGGACGCAGAATGATATTCCCTGGTAGCCATTCCAAGGTCTAGGCTTTTTAGGTTCATTACACTGGCTCCCGGTGTGTTTTAGAATAAACCTTAAAAATGTATTGATTACTTTTAAAGCTCTTCATGGTTATATCGCTGACCTTTTAGTCCAATAAGCACCAGCAGGTACCTTGAGATCCTCGGGGAGAGGTCTTTTGTCTTTTGTTCTCGACTGAAAACTAAAGGGGACAGAGCATTTGCAGTCAGGGCCCTGAGGCTCTGGAACAGCCTGCCCGAGGAAATCAGAGCGGGTAGGAAGAGTGAGTGCACTCTTTTAAATCCTTTTAAAAACATACTTTTATAGGAGAGCCTTTGCTGATTTCAATTGATTTTATTTATTTTTCTCTAAACTTTATTTTAATTTCTTAACTCTCTCCCTGCTTTTATTGTGTGTTCTCTGTTTAATTTGCTTTATTGTCTTTGCCTCCTGTGAAAGCCCTTTGTAACATGGTTTTGAAAAGTGCTCTAGAAATAAGGATTATTATATTATTATAGGCTGAAAACTAAAGGGCCTTTGCTGTCAGAAGATTTTTAAAATCTTACTTCTTAAGACACATTTTTATAAAAAAGCTTTTATTGTGTGATGCCAATTTTTTTCCCACTTGTTTGTGTGTTTTATGTTAATTGTTGTAAAACACTTACCTGTATGTATGTTACCTACAACTACACAAATAAAGCTGTTATTATTATTATTACTATTATTATGATTATCCAGTCGACAAGTTTTTATTATATTGAGCATGTGGAATTAGACAGTGTGTGCAAAAATGTGTATGTGTGCATTACCAGTATATATGGGCTCTTCTGTCCTTTCCCCGTCAGGTACTGATAGAGAAGGTAGCCAACAACCACCAGCATACACATGCACACAGTTGGCACAACAATACTCACAACCACACTCTTCAGCTGGCCAGTCACAGGGTCTGAAAAGAGACAGCACTTCAGGAACACGTCACACAAATACATACATACATACATACATACATGTGCATAAAGGTATATATAGGCAATACTATGTGAAGAACAAGTCACACCAGAACTCACTGTAAAAAAATCTGTATTTTAAATGCAATACCATCATGCTGAAAACAAGACTGTTCTTGATTGATATCTTTGAAAGGTAGAAACTCATACGCAAACAATAGAAGACATCTCAGAAACACAAACATAAATCTCTCTTTCGCTTCTGTATCAGGGTTGGTCACATTCCTTTCTACCTGTGAAAAAGGGAGGAAAATATTATACCTCTCACACACACATGCAATGTGGTTGTACCTGAAGGCGTGGTTATGCATTGCCATACTGAGGACAGGCAGTGGACGGGCATGGAGAGGAATCTTGCCTTGGCAGAGAAGCAGTAGTCTGTATCGTACTCCATCAGGCGATATTTGTATGGACCGGAGACCACTTGGAAATGGCTCTACAGACATACACACTCACAGATCAGTCAGTGCCATGGGTGAACTTCAAGTGTGCTTGATTTAACAGCCTGTCTGTGCCATGAGGGCGGGACGAGCTACGACTTTTCATAAATTTTTACTCACTGTCTGGTTGCGACGGGTATTGTGGATGGACAGGTTGTAAGTCATCGTGGGGTAGAGTGTTGACATGGAAACCCCTGGGGTGTGGTTGTCAGGCTGATACCTCATTGGTCCCTTCAGAGTGATGATGGCGCTGTTGTCCTCTGTTTCCACAGAAACCACTGGAGGGCCAAAACTAGCTATAGAGATAGACAAAATATTTCTACCTAAAAGGTTGTGTATTTTCTTAAAGAAGTACGGCCATCTCAACTCTCCGTCTTTTTGTCCAGCCTCCCCGTGTGTGTCTGGAAATATTTCCCTCTCTCCCCATATTTTGAAACAGAAAGTCACTTTAACTTACTGTCCGTCTTTGGATCGAATCGCCTCGGCGTCACGGTCCATTTGGAGGATGCTTTCCTGCTCACAGCACGAACCCTGGCGTAGTATCCCTGCTCCAGATCCATCGTCTCATTGCTCAGATCACACCAGCTCCGCGCTATTCTTGTACACTGCCGCACCTCCCTCCAGTTCACCTTTCCTTTGCTGCCCTCAACACTGTCTCCATAGCTGGGAAAGACAGAGTGGACCCACACAGATCAGAGGATGACTGCTGTGAATCCCAGCACAAGCGGGGACAGTAAGAATGACGGGAGTGAATTAACTCTAATCACACTCCTCTACTTGTTTAATTCCCCTTAAAGCAAGGAACTGAAGCTTACACACGCTGTTTTGTTAGATCTGGTTGTGATTTTTTCCCCTGTTTTCGTCCCCTTCTCCTTTCTCTGCTTCCTTTTGTCTGTAAATTCCTTTGAGACTAGCTAAAGAAAAATAAATACAATAACTTCAGTGTAGTGAAGGAGTCACCCCACCCACATTTAGACACAGGCCTAAAGGGTACCAAACATGCACCTTGACTGCAACGCGAAAGAGCCTGGCTCGTTGGTAGGGCAGTCAAAGCGCATAGTCAACTGTAGTGATAGTACTCCATCACATTTAGCTTTAACCAGCTATATTCCAAGGCAGATACAGTAGCCTATGACCAATGCGCCAAAAATAACTTAAATTATTTGCAACTTGAAGACAATGACTTTGTTCTCAGGGCCACTGTAGTTAAAATAATATTTAATAAATAATATATTTAAACTCTAAAATCTTTACTTACATGGTATACTGCACAGTAAAGTGTGTGTAATCCGGTGTGCCATTTCCTGGTGACCACTGCAGTATATTTCTCAGATTCACTGAGGAGAAGATGACATTGATAGGGCTGGAGGGAGAGGAGGAGACTGAGGAGAAGGAGAATGAAAAAGTGAGATTTAATGAGAAAGGTAAGAGACACACACATTTAAAAAGAAGTGTTTGTTGCCCTGTGAGACTATTGGCTGCTCATGAAACCCAATAAAATGTTGAGGAGAGTCAGTTTAAGAACCAGGTTTGTAGGTTACAGACATCTGAAACTATAAATTGAACTTGGACTTAAGCCACACTTAACTCATTTTCATGCCATGTATACACACAAATGACAGGGCTGTGAGCCATCTGTGAACAGGACTACCAAAGCCTGTCTGCATAATAACTTGCTATTTTGACACTTAACGTTCAATTAATATGAATAAAGGACGGTTTTATTACTGTGTCACGCATACAACAGAGTCAGAAGACACTATAAAGCAATTTGTAATGCAGGTTGCAATGATGAAACGGTTTGTATGATGAGCCTATTTAACTTGGATACACATCATAAAAAATGAAATCAGGCAGTGATTTAATAAATCTGCAAACATTTCACTTTATGTCATATTGAAAATAGTGTGTACAGTAGGAGATCCTGCATAGAGTTGCCAATCATCAATTAAACTCAAACACAGACACGGTTTTCGTGGAATCAATCGTCCATGGAAACCAAATAGTCTCAAAATTAATAACCTGTAGCCTGTAACACATGCCTAATGTAACGTTAACGTTTGCAGCTAGTAGACTAAGTCAGAATAATTAAAGAAAAGAAGAAAATACAACTGTAGGCTAATAGTAATGTTAGTTCAGTACCTGCGCAGTGCAGACCCCCCAGGTACAGAACAATTGACACTGTCCACATCTCTGTATGATGGGGTCATGTTTTCACAAGAAACACCAACATCTTCAATCCCCGGCAGCTTCTCTGCTCCTCCATGTGTAGCTGTATGCTACACCTGTCAGCGGCCCGATGTTCCTCCGCACTTTTAAAAGAAATTTGTTAAAAAAACAAACACGATAGAATTAAACAGGATGGAGACGCTGTACCAGCGACCGCCAAACGCTAAAAGCTCAGCGATTTATGGTTCAAGTAAAACAGGTTTTCCGTGTACGAGGAAGGAATGTGACCTCAGTTGTTTGAGCACATTACACCTGTGCGTGGAGGAAGTGTGTGTGTGTACGTATTGCTCACAGTCACACTGTGGGGAATCACCTTTTGTGGAACAAAGGCAAACTCCCATAACGTCGATCGTTAGGAAAAGATAATGTAGTTTAGGTTAGGGTTATTGACAGTTTTGTAGATAGGCCTAAAGGAGTAGATTTAGGGAGAAGAAGAAGAACCAACGTATCTTAAAAGACCGAGATCAAATAATGAACAGAATGAAGTAGGCAATTCAACCTAAGCAGTAAAATAAAACAGGACCAATAATAAACCAAAGAACTTGCGTAAAAAAAGACATCGAATGAGGTTAAATTTAAAAATGTCAGCCATTTCGGCCTAAGTCATTTGGCTCCATCTAGTGACCGACATTAATTAAAGTGTTTTCTTCACCACCATAGAATGGCATACTTTACATAGAGTGGTTTTCTACAAGAATGCAAGTGTGTAGGAGTAGACTTGTACCTCTCCTCGTTTGCACAAGCGTTTTTATTGTCCCCACCAACTTCTGTAATTTTGTAAAACAATTTTAGCAGGATGTAGGCTATGCCGCCTGTTTTGTAATATATTTCTGAAACATGCCAATCGTATATTATAAATATCATTAAATATCATGCGTTATAATTACAGAGCATTAAGGGTTACACACATTGACCTAGACTGTATTACATAGATTACACATCATGATGACTAAATGAAGCGGAACTGTGCAGCTTGTTTCTTTAATGTGTCTACGGATTGTTTTTGCAGTTGCGCGTCTCGCGGTGCATTCATCCCGGTCCCTGTTAGCATGTAGCTTTTCGATAGCGAGTAAACTGATTCATTTGTGTGATGGTTCGCTAAAAATTGGCACTTTTTGATGCAGACATGGCGCTCTCGATGGAAACGCAGCTCCAGAGCATCTTTGAGGATGTCGTGGTAATTTGCGTCTTTATGTACTGGGCTTGAAGCTAACACAGTTAGCATTTCAGACAACGTTAACGTTAGCCTTTTCCTTGAAATGTCCACTCATGAACTTGCTGGGGTTTTGCAAATGAATAATTCCAACAATATAGATAGATACCGTTTGTTTCTATCTAAAGTTACGTTATAGATAACTATGTGAACAAACATGTTTTCATCTCTAACAGTAACTTACGTTAACAAAACAAAAGGTTTTACACTTTATGAATTGTGTCTAACGTGACACGTTATTTAAATTAACTTAAGTATCAGGCCTTCTCCCTGCTGAAGTGTCCCTGAGCAAGACACTCTGATCTTTAACCAACATCAGGTGTTGTTCTGTAACTAAATCTGTCATCTGACCTCTGTGTGCACTGAGGCAACTGAGCAGACGTTCATTACTGTATTGGAATTACTATTATTAGGAAAGCAGTGGAAGGCTGATAGACGGATCAACAGCAGAGAGAATTAAAACATCTTCTGTCCTCCCACTCAATATTTTCTGAATTTTACTCTTCTCCTCCTTTCCTCAGAAAACTGAAATGATAGAAGAGGCCTTTGCTGGGTAAGGTGGCTCCGGAAACACACTCATACCTCTCCTTGTTTTGTTATTATTTGTTAAAACAGAAAGGAGACTGTAAGTTCATCTCAGGCTTAATAAACTCATACACACTAAACTCGCTTTCTGAAACAGGGCCCTGGTCTCACTAGTTGTACAGTAGAAGGTGTAATGTTGACTTCTCGCACATGTCACTTGTGTTGTGTTTCAGGATGTTTATGGACACTCCAGAGGATGAGAGGACTAAACTGATCAGTTGTCTCGGGGCCTTCAGACAGTACTGGGGAACACTACCGCAGGTCACTAAACACAGAGACAGACACACGCACTCACACATAAGGTGATGACTAATTGCCTCCATGTCTTCCTGCAGGAGTCTCATGAACAGTGTGTACAGTGGATCGTGCGGTTTATACACAGCCAGCACAGTCCCAAAAGGATCTCCTTCCTCTATGACTGTCTAGCAATGGCTGTGGAGACCAGTCTGTTACCTCCCAGGTACACACACACTCTTACGCACTTAATAAGGCCTACAGACATTGTTTACGCATTAATTTACATTCTGGGGCTTGACAGAGTCTACTACTATCCAGTTCATTTAAGATTTCTGTTTAGGCTGCTTTAAGATATAATTAGTGTAGATCATCCTTATGGTTCTTGATAATTCAATAATTGAAAGTGTTTTATATATAAATATGTATATTTCATTGATATGATACACGACGTCTCATTAAATGTATCTGCAGTTAATCTATTGTGTGTTGGCACTCTTATCTATTACTTTTACTCTCTATCTTAAACACCCATCTAATGAATTGGTGTGTGTGTCTGTCTGTCTGTCTGAAGGATGGTGTGTGCTGCTCTGATAAGCTCGGACAGTTTGGAGTGGGAGAGGACTCAGTTGTGGGCGTTAACTTTCAAATTGATTCGCAAGATCATTGGAGGGGTGGACTACAAGGTCACACACTCACACACACACACACACAAGCAAGCACAGCTCATCAACAAGCTCAATGATAAGGAGCTCTTGTAAAAGAAAATCGTCCTATAAACTATGTATTGTTTTTAATATGATCAGTATTTGTTAGAACATCAACCTCATCTCAGCCAGTGGCACTTTTTTCTCTGCCTTTTTCATCTCTCACCAGGCAGCTGTCAAACGTATATGTTTTCATGTAAAGTGTGTGTGTGTGTGTGTGTGTGTGTGTGTGTGTGTGTTTCAGGGGGTCCGAGACCTGTTGAAAGCTGTACTGGATAAAATTCAGACAATTCCTACCACTGTCAGCTCAGCTATTGTCCAGCAGCTTCTCTCTGCCAGAGAGGTATTTGTTTGTCTATCTTTCAGTTATTAAATGTAATAATTTGTGTCTTTTTATTTTTCACTCTGATGGCATTTAAGCATACCAAATCACTTTAATTCTACATTTATTATTCTGTGTACTCCAGGTGGTAGAGTATATCCTGGATAGAAATGCCTGCCTCCTGCCAGCCTACTTTGCCGTCACAGAAATCAGAAAACTGTATCCAGAGGGACAGCTGTCACACTGGGTAAGTGTGGGTTTCTTCTGTGTGTGTGTGTGTGTGTGTGTGTGCAGCTGTCATGTGAATCTAACAAATCTTCCTGTTTTATTCCCTGTCTTTCATTCGGTGTCTGTTTGTAGCTTCTAGGCAGTTTGATATCAGACTTTGTGGACAGTTTCAGACCCACAGCCAGAATCAACTCTATCTGTGGTAAGAGACGCATAAACACAGCCACACTGGAAGCTTATAAAATCTTGATCAAAATGACATCAAGATCTTGTTGTTCTTTTTGGCAAACTGTTGCTCTTCTTCATACTTTGTCCATTCTTTTAAAAAAAAAAACCCAAAATATAATCTAAAGGGGGAAAAAGGGAAAGACACACAAATAAAGATAACGACTGCATTCTGATCCACAGTGTGCATAAACAGTACTCCCTGCTCCTTGCTCCGCGAATGACGGTTAAGGGAACCCTCTACAAAAACTCTTTCATTCGGATAACTCTGTAGCATCACCAACGCAGACCTCAGTTCCTCTGTTCTGTAAACACCTCAGATGCCCCCTGCTACTGTGTACATTTACTGAAATAAAATATTGAATATATAATATACAATTACAAAACTTCTATTTCTATTTTATTGAAATGTATGTGTGAGCATGTATGCCACATGGCACGTCACAGATTAATAACTTCACTGATTGAAGTACGTAATACAGCTCATGTATGTGCAGTTTTCCTGTTTAGCCATTTCATGTGCGTATGTGTGTGTCCACAGGTCGTTGCAGCTTATTACCAGTAGTGAATAACAGTGGGGCCATCTGCAACTCCTGGAAATTAGACCCCACTACTCTCCGCTTCCCTCTGAGAGGCATGCTGCCATTTGACAAGGTAAAATATTAACATATATACACCACACAGGCATTTTATACACACTTACACAAAGCAGTAATACATTTTGTGTTTTTTGAATGTAGGACCTGTTTGAGCCACAGACGGGCTTGCTGCGCTATGTGTTAGAACAACCATATTCAAGAGAAATGGTGTGCAACATGTTAGGACTCAACAAACAGGTATACCAACCTCTTCTTCTACTTTTGCTTCTGTACCAGGCCCTCCACCTGCCCTCACTTTTCTAATCCCTTTGAATCTATATATTTACTCTCCCCTTTCTTTTCCATTTTTGTCACCCCACTCTTTCTGCTCCCTTCTTCCCCCCTCCCTGCTCCTGCTGTTCCTTTTTCCCCTTTTCATTCTCGTCTTCTCTCTGCCATTCTTGTCTCCTTGACTTCTACCTCTACCTCATCCTCTTCATGTCTGAGTTTGACATTCTGCTCTTTCTGTTTGTTTTGTTAATTTTTTTTTACCAGGTTCTGTTCTTCAAATTATTTCCTTTTTATTTATTGTTTCTCTTCTTCTTCTCCTCACATTCTTCTCTTTTGACATCCCTCTCCTCCCTTTTGTTAATACAGCTATATAAGACCATATGTAAAGCAAGCCAATGCTGTGAGCTTGACCCATAATGCACTGGTGTTAGTTTTCCCTGTTGGGTTCATACAGTTTCAACTCAGCCCAGCAGACACAGTTTGACCTGCTCTCCTTGTGTTTGTTGCACAGAAACAGAAAGCACTAATCAACACTGGCCGGAGCTCTGATTTAGAACTTGCTTATATTCATATTTTGAATATGAACAAATTACCCAGATTCCAGTTTGTCTGTATTGGCTAAGTTGATGCTAGCTGTGCTGAACGGACAGTGAACAACCTAGCTCCTTAGTCACCACTTTCTCTCTCTCTGTCTCTCCTTTTTCCTCTCTGTTTCTTTCTCCTTCTTTCTTTGTTCCTCCCTCTTTCTCTCTCTTTTGTCCTCTGGTTGTGTGTTGTGTTTGTCTGTCTCTCTGCCATGCGCTCTCTAGACTCTGAACATTGCCCAGGTATGTCG